TCTGAATTGTCTGAGATTCACAAGCAATCTTTATTGTTCGTGTACTGAGCATGTTTACTATCCAGTTAATCAGTGCTGGTTTAACATTATGTCTACTTAGGGCACCTTTTATGCTGGAGAAATTTGTTCTGTCAAGCACCTTCTATGTCTATGAAGGAGCCTAGACATTTTGGTTTGTTTTGGATGGCCTCTTCAATCTTTGTTATTACCTGGTGAAGTGCCGATTCTGTTGATTTACCTAAGCTATAGGCATGTTGTTTTTCGTGTAGCGGTAAGTTAATTAGCGCCGACCCTCTCAACTCCCGCTTCACACATCCTCTCCATCGTCTTTAGGAGAAAGTATGTGAGGCTAATAGGTCTGTAGGATTTAGAGTCTGTATAGTCGTTCTTACCTGGTTTGGGTATGAACGTGACTTTCACTTCCCCTCCATCCCCTAGGAACATATTTAAGAGCCAGACATGCTCTCATTATGGCAACAAGTCTAACTATTAGGACTTTACCCTCCTACTGAAGAAGTGCCGGGAATAAGCCGTCAGGTCCTGCTGCCTTATAGAGTTGGAAACTATGAATGGCCCAATGGATTTTGTCCATCGTCACCACTCTTTGTGCTAATTCCCAGTCTTCTTTTGTTGGTGTCAGTGAATCTTCATGCCGGTTCACCCTTTCAACTACACAGCAACCTGGGAAGTGAGTATCAATTAGTATGCGTTGGGTTTCATCCGGCGATGTTGAGTAGCTTCCGTCGGATTTCTTTAAAGAGATAGATCCCGGCGTGTTCTGTTTAGCTACGATTTTCCTTATCCGATTTGCTTGTTCACAGGTTTCTATGCTACCACAGAATTTGCGCCACCCTGTTGAGCGTTGATACCTGATACATTTTTTGTATTCAGACTTAGCTTTCTTTATATAGAAGCCAGTCTTCATCCTTTGAGGTATTCATTGCCCTATTTAGGACTTTTCTTACCTTCTTACCTTTCCTGTCTAGTTCTTTACCCCACCACTGTTGCTTTTGCTCAGTATGTTTTACTGGACATGATTCATGGTAGCTATCGATCATGGCTTTAGTGACAGCTGCTACCTATTCTTCTAGGAGCGATTGATCTGCTATAGTATTAATTTCTCCAACACCCGCAAGCGAAGACGTCATCCTATTGAGGTATTTTGTTTTATCCGTCTTGCGGGAATTTCTCCATGGTGGTATAGCGGGGATATCGACCTGTAGTACGCAGCAGATCCATCTGTGGTCTGAGCATGAGGCCTCTTTCAACACATGCCATCCTGTTATTAGCTTAGCTGCTCCTTCTGTTGCAAGTGTGAGGTCGATTATTGTGCGACAGCGTTTATTTATGAAGGTTGGTTCATAAACAGTGTTTAATATGGTTAGGTTAGTGCTAAATAAATATTTAACTAAAACCTTACCTCGTTCATTAGGTTATTCCATTCCCCAAAGGGGATGATGCGCGTTGGAGTACGTCGCGATCACAACCTCTAGTCCGGCCCTCTCACAGAAATTCACCAGCCTGACGAGGTCATGAAGGGGAGGGGTGTCTTCCTCAGGCATGTAGACCGAGGCGACGACTAACCTTTCCTCCTGTGTGTTTTATAATGCTACGGCATACATGTCCCTGGAACAGAAATCTGTTAGTGGTTTTGCACAGATATCTTTAGTAGTATAAATACACGCTCTAGGCTTGTCGTGCTCAGAGTTGTAAAATAACTTACCTCTTAGGTTGTTTAGGCCTTTAATTTTTACAGGCCCCAACCCATGACTCTTGGATTAGGGCTATGGCCGTCCTTTGTGCCTCCAACCACTTGCGTAATTGAGCCGACGCTGTCTCACTGTGGTGGAGGTTGGCATGCACTAGGCTAGTTTTGGACGAAGGGCACGCCATCATCGATCGCGTCATCCCCGTCCCCGCCTAAAAATAAGTCTGCCAGCAGATCTCGGGTTTCATCGTCAGCCACCGAGTCGGAATTGGACGGCAAACAGCAGACCTCTTCGTCGCTCAGTGAGCTGTCGCTGAGCTCAGTTTCCACTGGGGGCTTCGGCTCGGTTGTGCAGGCAGTTTTTTCAGTGGACTTGACATCCAGTGATTTCGATGTACCGGCAACCATGGCCACGTTACCCATGACTTTCAGGTTCTTTTCTGCCTCTTTGCAAGGTGGGGAATCAACGAATTTTCCTCCACGACCCTGGAATTTAACGTATACCGCCCCACATACACATGCGAGACGGCGCCCCGCTTTCATCAGGGTCGGGATATGATCCTCCGGCACCGAAACAACGAGGAACCACCCGTCCGTCTGTTTGTCCGCTTTGAGTAGTAGCCAGTCCTTGATGTTTACCCAGCGGTTCTGGTACGCAAGTACACGACCAATGTCGCGTGAGTTCTTCCAGGCACCTTGGGCATCAGGGATACCACATTTGATTCTTTGTGGTATCTCTGACTGTTTCTTAATAGTCAGCGAGGTGTTGGATTTGAGGTCGAGGGTATTAATATTCCCTTCAACCAGTCCAGAGCCTTCTGGTCATCGCACCACAGCTTTAGGACACCCTCCGTGTAAACGAGTTTGCCTCTAAAAACTGGGCCCGGCGCATCAGTGTCCTGGTTACTCCAGGCCTCGCTGATCATCTTCCTCTGTATGGCCACGAGGATGTCATCAGCTATCTCCTTTGTTATGTGACCTGAACGCGCACACGTTAGGGCCACACCCAAATTTGCTTTGGCAGCAGAAGCGTAGCTTGTTCTTGCAGCCTTTGGTTGCTGTTCAAGTCGCACTTTTTTGTGCTCTCCTCTCGGCGAGGTGGACTCCTCTAGCAATCTTCTGGCTGCTCTTTCCTTCTTTCCAGGACGCTTGGCTGCTCTCTGGTTCCTGGCGGATTTCTTAGAGCTGGTTCCGGCGGCCGTGCCTACTGCTTGGGCTGGATTTTCATCCTTCCCAGTTTCAGCACGACTACCGGTTCCAGCCCCAAGCACCGCAGTAGCAGTAGCTTGCCCAGTTCCCTGAGTCTTGCTCTTGGAAGCAGCGAGCGCTGCTCTTTCTCTTTTTGTCGCTGCTTCTTATTCTTCTTTTTGACCTTTGCGCTACTGCTTGCTGGGATAGACCCACCTGATGGTGCGTTGGGTCGGCAAGTCACCATTTTGGGAGCCTTGCGCTTCCCCTTACGGCTCACCACTTGCCAGGCAGCGGAGAAAAGGTCTTCGGTCCTTTGGGGCTCCGCAGGAGTTTTTCTACTCGCGGCCCCTTGCTCATTTTTCTCGTCCACCTCCTTGGATTTGGAACTGGATTCAGAGACATCCAGCGCGGAAATTGCCCCCTCGGTGGGGCCACCAACGCTGGGTGGTACAGTCAGTGGAACGGCCGGTTTAACGGCGGTTCCTTCTGGTTTATCAGTGTCTAAGGTCACTAACACCTCTGACACTTCTCCTTCTCGTCCCCCTGGCTTCCCACCCTCCATGGAGCCCGCACTTTGGGAACGCCCTACTTTATTAAAAGAATTTCAGGCGTTAGGATTACCGGGGGAATATATTGACGCAGAGTTGGCTCACAGCGCGACATCGGGAGCTCGATCCAGCTGGCAGATAGGGCTGAAAAAGGCCCATCCCCACTGCCCGAGTTGACTTTCACTTGCCCCGTCAGCATCGCCTTTACCACCACCTAGCCCTTTTCAGGGAGACTAGACAGCCCCCCCACATCCCTCGCCTGCGACCCTCTGACGGGACGCTTGGCCATTTCCTTATCTGTGGCTAGCAGATAAGGCCACCGTTTAGTTTGAAATCCGGACCAAAGAGGGCGTGTTGCCTCTCGACACTATATACCCCAGTGACGATCGGCTCAACCCTCCAGGACTCCTCATCCCCGCATACGGCGCTCAACTGCGCAGGTCCTAGCACAGGTGGGTGTGTTAGTCCACCGGATACACCCACTCTCTCCGGCCGGCCGACTCGAACCGTTCCCTCCTCTTTTTCCGGGCTTGGGACCGGCAGCAACAAAAAGCATTGACAAAGTTAGATTCCCGAGCTTCCTGTTGCAGGCAGAGTTAAATATAATGTTGTCTTGTTTGCTAGATTATAACAAATAATATTATATCAGAATAATAAACGTAACAGACTGGAAAGGGTTGCACGCTCTACGCCTCTTTGCCATAAAGCTCTCGTTAAAAGTTATTATCTTTTATCTAACAAATTCAATGAGGCGTATAATAGATTTATTCTCAGCGTTGTTAAATTGTTCGGTTAATATATTCTTAGGTCATAAAATATTATTCGTCAATTTCACCTTGACTGCTGCTTCACACTGCTGATTTATTGATTTCACGTAACAAATAAATTAAATTGAGTGTGTCTGTAATGTCAAAATAATAACTTTTTACTAAATACATATAGAAGTACGAGTGTAAACGACAGTTATAACAAAAAAAATTATTAAAATTTTGTCTGTCTGTTTGTTCCGACTAATCTCCAAAATTGCTGGATAGATTTTTATTTCAGAAAAAGAATTAAGTTTACGCGCAAATAAATTAAAACCTATGAAATTCAATCGTAATAAATTCCACGCGGACAAGTCGTGGGGAACAGCTAGTATACGCGAATGTAAATACTTAATCCGTGAGGGATTTTTACTAATCTACCTTAGAGTGGCAATTCCAAAGCCAAACCTCACAAATTGATAATAAGGTAAGCGAGGGCATCGGTTCCAATTACAAGATGCAGCATAATTATCCAAATTACTGCTCAGCCAAAATGACTTGGTGCACTTGTGAAAATAAATATTGTACTTTAATTTTATACAGATAAGACTGAGACACGTCGTAATTGTATTAGATGTAATTAATTGAAATTGAAAGAGGTGAAGTGAAGAACGATGGAATAGGAAACTATACTAAAGACAATGCGGTTACTTTTAAGTTTATTGTGGTTAAATGCAAAAACGTATCTAGATCTGTGATCTGATTTGCACACAAATGGTCTGGCATAAGATAAAGAGCCGTTTCGAGATGGTAGTTCTGCACGCGCTTAGCGCTGCTAAGACCGGAAAGGAAAAAACCAGCCTTTGAGACATGCATTCCTAATTTTCTTATAGATAAAAAAACTAAATTAAGATAATTACATATTGGACAACACTCTTAAATTGCAAACTTGATTAAATATTATGTTACATATATAGTTAGCAACATGGGTAAAAGAATAACATAAAATGTGAACAAATAATGGTAGAACTGCAATCTCGCACTCTTTCTGGCAGTATCGCTGATGCAAATGTATCGCGCCGAGACAGCTCGCTGGCACTGGTGAGCCGAGACAGCTCACTGGCGCGGGTGAGCTGAGACCGCTCGCTAGCACGGGTGAGCCGAGACAGCTTGCTGGCGTGGGTGAGCCGAGACCACTCGCTAGCACGGGTGAGCCGAGACAGCTCGCTGGCGCGGGTGAGCCGAGACCGCTCGCTAGCACAGGTGAGCCGAGACAGCTCGCTGGCGCGAGCGAGCCGAGACCGCTCGCTAGCACGGGTGAGCCGAGACAGCTCGCTGGCTCGGGTGAGCCGGGACAGCTCACTAGCACGGGTGAGCCGAGACCGCTCGCTAGCACAGGTGAGCCGAGACAGCTTGCTGGCGCGGGTGGGCAGAGACCGCTCGCTAGCACGGGTGAGCCGAGACAGCGCGCTGTTGTGGGCGAGTCAAGACCGCTCGCTAGCACGGGTGAACCGAGACAGCTCGCTCGCGCGGGTGAGCCGAGACAGCTCACTAGCACAGGTGAGCCGAGACAGCTCACTAGCACGGGTGAGCCGAGACAGCTCACTAGCACGGGTGAGCCGAGACCGCTCGCTAGCACAGGTGAGCCGAGACAGCTCGCTGGCGCGGTTGGGCCGAGACCGCTCGCTAGCACGGGTGAGCCGAGACAGCGCGCTGGCGCGGGCGAGTCGAGACCGCTCGCTAGCACGGGTGAGCCGAGATAGCTCGCTGGCACGGGTGAGCCGAGACAGCTCACTAGCACGGGTGAGCCGAGATCGCTCGCTGGCTCGCTGCACTGAGACGTAGATTTTCATTCTGTAAAGGCAAAGCTTAGTCTGTTCGCAATGTATTCAAGAGCTCACTCATTGTGTGCTGTTGAATTAAAGTTTTTCTACACACTAGCACGCAGCAGTGGTTCTTGTTTCACACGTGTAGTTCATAATATTTCAGCACCGTCAGTGTCAGTATTATTTTCCATAAGCCTAAAGCTGAACATAGTTGTAAAACATGACTCTGAACACTATACATGATTAAAACTACTTTTACGGATTTTATCGGGTTTATTTTTACTTTTATTTACTTTTATTTTTGATTCCCGACGTTTCGGGCGCTTTCCAGCACCCATGGTCACGGGGGACTGAGATGACTGACGTCCCGATGTCATTGTTAAACCCGGAGTACCTTCAGCTTTTTTAATTATTGTTTATGGTCAGATCTATGCAAAATGAACTGACAATGTCCTGAGGTCTTGCAGTGGTATGCTTGGGTTTAGTTTTAATTTTATTGATTATAGGATCCCAAGCAGGTGGTAGTACCCAGCCTCCTTCTCTATTGAAATTAGGATGTTTTTTAATTTCAATAGCCTCACGTATCATCCTTGGTAGGAATCGGTGTTCTTTCGCGAGGATTTGTGATCTATCAAATCTGATGTAATGGTTGGGTCCGTCTAGGATATGATGGTTTGTATGGGTCATTTTCCTATACACAGTGTGACCAATGGTGTTATTAGGATTTCGGATGACTAACACTAAATCTACTACTATGACTAAAAATAAATCTATTGTGGAAGGAAGAGTTTTACAAGCAAGTAGATGGTGTTGCGATGGGCTCACCTGTATCTCCCATTGTCGCCGATATATTCATGGAAGACTTTGAGGAGAAAGCCCTCCTTACTGCACCTGTTACACCAAGGATCTACAAGCGGTACGTAGACGATACTTTCACAATTTTACCATCAGACAAAGTAACTGCATTTTTAGAACATCTTAATTCCATAAACTCTAAAATTCAATTTACTATGGAGTTAGAGGCAAATAATTCCTTACCTACCGTGTTAGTCATTCGAAATCCTAATAACACCATTGGTCACACTGTGTATAGGAAAAGGACCCATAAAAACCGATATTTAAACGGTGAATCTCACCACCATCCTTCACAGTTAGCTACCGTGGGCAAATCTTTGTTACAGAGAGCACGAGGGATCTGTGACAGCAAACACCTGGCCGCCGAGCTTCAGCACGTCAAGCAAGTTCTGCACGACAACAAGCTTCGGGTTCCGCGCCTACGTCACAGTGACCGAGTGAAGCCGGCCACAGTCGAGCGTGTGCCTGCTGTACTACCATATGTCAGAGGTGTCACAGACAAGATTGGCTATATCTTGAAGCGAGCTTCTATTAGAACATTCTACAAGCCGCCGAAGAAGATTAGTCAGTTCCTACCATCCGTCAAGTGTCATATTCCTCTACAAGATGCAGGAGTGTACAAGTTTGATTGTGAATGTAGTCTCTCTTATATAGGACAAACAAAAAGATCAATTAGGACCCGCGTAAAAGAACATATAGTTGATGTGAAGCATCAACGTTCCGGGAAGTCTGCAGTTTGTGATCATATCCTAGACGGACCCAACCATTACATCAGATTTGATAGACCACAAATCCTCGCGAAAGAACACCGATTCCTACCAAGGATGATACGTGAGGCTATTGAAATTAAAAAACATCCTGATTTCAATAGAGAAGGAGGCTGGGTACTACCACCTGCTTGGGATCCTATAATCAATAAAATTAAAACTAAACCCAAGCATACCACTGCAAGACCTCAGGACATAGTCAGTTCATTTTGCATAGATCGGACCATAAACAATAATTAAAAAAGCTGAAGGTACTCCGGGTTTAACAATGACATCGGGACGTCAGTCATCTCAGTCCCCCGTGACCATGGGTGCTGGAAAGCGCCCGAAACGTCGGAATTAAAAAATAAAAGTAAATAAAAAGTAAAAATAAACGCGATAAAATCCGTAAAAGTAATTTTAATCATGACTCTGAAATCTGAACAACCTGCTTGCATTATCTTTTGCCAGCTTGAGATGCCCCAGCAAACATTTTTGTCATATAATCAAACATTTTTAAGACTTTGAGTCTTTTAAAGTTATTTTAAAGTATTTTCTTTTACTCTTCGTCACATACTGGTGCATTATACGTCCTGATAGTCATATACATTTTTTGTCGTATAATAATGCCATGTAAACGTTCTTTCGACATTTTTTTACAACCGTCATATAATAGCGTCTACGACGACGTCTATAAAACTTACTTATACAACTTTTCGTCGAGTAAACGTTTTCGTATTATAAACGTGGTAATACTGTCAATTTTGTCTTATAATTACCTTTTTAAACATCTGCTAAACGGATAATAATTATTTACACGTAGTATTTGTAACTATTATATACAGGTCGAATAAGTATTACAAGTGCTACCTGTATACATCCTTGAGTATCTCAAACATGATAATACGACCGCCATTTAACTAATACTCATTTAAAGATTTATAATAACCTTATATACAACATCCACCATTTTGAAATCAAATTTATCATATTTATTTACTGATTGTTACAACATGGATCAACAAAATTGGAAAAGTATTAAAAGAAGTGGAGCATTCAGAAAAAAAGTTAAAAATAACTAACTTCAAGCACGTATGTACCTTAATACAAAGTAATAGAGCTCAAGCTGTGAGTGAGGAAAATGAGAAGGGTTCCGTATTACATTTAAATGCAAATTTAACCAATCAGTTTAACCAAAATGTTACGAGTATACCCTGCAGTTCATTTGCCGAAGTTCAGAAGTCTTGTTCATTTTCCGAAGTTGAAGACAGTTATTCATCGTCCGAAAATGAAAATGTTGATAAACTAGACACTACAACCAAAAATGATGACTTCAGATACCATTATAAAAACGTGGGCTATTGATTTTGATATTCCACAAGTTGCATTAAAGCAATTAAATGTAATTTTAAACAAAAGAATGCCCTGTATAGTCCCTTTAGACCCAAGGACGCTTTTAAAACGTAAAAAAGATGTACAGATAATTCTTTTAATATGGGCAATATTGGCATAATAGTCTTATTGAATCTTTAAAGACGATTTTACAAAACCTAAATGATAAATCGAAATGTGTGAACAAGTAAACCATAAAATGCATCCGCATTTTTTCATTTTTTTTGTTAGTGAATTACAAGAATTAATGTCTAATAATTTGAGAATTGCATCGCAAGATGGGGTCGATACATTGATCGAAGTTAAAATCAGAGCCTTAATATGCGACTCGCCAGCGAGAGCTTTGGTTAAAGGTGAGTATCCTTATCCCAAATATGTAATTTAAAATTTTCTGTTAAGTTATATTCCTATTGACTTTTCAAGTAATGTTATATTCGAAACTGAAACATCATCCTGGTCAAAATCAGCCAGGAACTTCGGTGCAATATTGTACCGGCTTTGATGGTCGAGTGGCAGCAAGCGCTATTACATAAAAATGATTCTGAGTTCGATAACCAACTGGAATATAGTAAAAGGTTTTCGTTTAGTAGTAGTAATTTAAATAAAAGTCAATTAATTATATTTTATATTTTACAGGAGTATGCAACTTTAATGCTAAACATGGTTGCTTGAAACGAACAGTGGTCGGCGAATATAGTCATAAATCGCACACAGTCATCTTTGCAAAGACTGATTACCCACAAAGAAATGACGCGGACTTTCGTTCTAAGAGGTATGGAGATCACCACAAGTACGATTCTCCTTTGCTAGCATTGCCAATAGATATGTTTGAACAATTTCCTGTTGGAGATTCTCTACATATTATTGATTTGGGTGTTATAAAACGGTTAATTGGTTGGAGGGATGGAAATTTAGGAAATCTAATTACAAAATCGCCTGCAAGGAAAATAGGAAAAGTCTTTTAATTTTTGCTGTGCTATCAGATGCCAAAGGAAATATACAGGAGTGTTAGACGTCTTAAAGATTTGTCACATTGGAAAGGTTTTGAGTTCCGTACTTTTCTACTCTATTTAAGTTTTGTGATATTAAAGGATGTATTATCTGATTCAGCATATCATCATTTTCTGTTCTTTTTTCTCAGCTGTAACTATTTGTACAAGCAAGACACATTTTCAACTTCTACCAGTCGCAGAAACAATGTTAAAGCACTTCGTTGACAATTATGGCAAGTTTTATGGCCAAGAGTACATTACAAGCAATGTTCACAATTTAATACACGTAGTAGACGAAGTAAAGAGATTTGGAACCTTGCAGAGCTTTAATGCTTATCCTTTTGAAAATAAATTGAGTTCTATAAAGAGGATGATTAGAAAAGGAAACCAGCCACTTCAGCAAATTGCTAATAGATTAATACAGATACATAATACAGATACGTAATATAGAAGTAGAAACTTAAGAAACGCTACGAGGCAATATTGCTCTACGATAAAGAGTTACAAATATAGAAGTAAACTTAAGACAGTGATTCAACTAGAATCCTTTATCCTCTCAACTGATAATGGAGATAAGTGGTTTTTGAATAACAACAACTACCTCGTTGAATTGTGTTGGGCTACTTTCAACGAGGGACGTATGCAGACAATTGGAAATTGAATTGAAAACTTAAGGAATGATGTTTTTGGAACGCCTATTAAATCTTCATATCTTAATATATTTATGATATATGAGAATGAAATTTCGCAAACTGAAGCCATATATTATATTACTGATATAAATTGTAAGTTGGTTAGCGTTATATACAACTCAAATATATATTTTGCTCCGCTTATTCATACATTTAAGAAATAGGTAATAAAGAAGTAAAAAATAAAATGTCACAAATAGAACATACAAAATCGCAACATAACAATAAATAAAATTCAAATTTGTAATATCTTTACCTGTTAATTAACTATATAATTAATAAATGGAAGAACTAGAAGTTTTTAGTAGTATTATCTATTTCGAAAGTTAAAGATTACAAAATTAACTTAAAAATTACAGAAAAAACAGGAAACAATATTAAATTATCGAACAACGGAAATAATCAAATAGTCACTTGCATTTCCATATTTGAAAGAATGACATGTTTTACCTATCGTGACCGTCCGTAAATCATCATATCTTTCCATCATCATTTGACCAGCTAGATTGGAAAGCAGTAGGAACTGCATCCCATTCTAGCTGAAGCTCAAATGAAGTTGTGAGACATTTTCTTTTTGATGTGGTGCATTTTCTAGGTCTACATTCTGGATATCACGTTGCTGTTCATCTGACTGGCGATTATTTTCTTGCAACACTTTTGCTTTTTTTGGTCTATTCTTTTGAGCAGAAGCCCTCAGTAGTTTAGCTTCATTTGTTTTAACAGCATGCCTCATAACATTTTTTTTTAAAATTATTCACTCTCTGGTATTGTGAAGTTATTATCAGATTGGTGTATTATTTAAAAAAATAATGATATAGTTTTAGTATAAGACTTAAAACATATTTTTGGTTCCCCTCTGGTACACCTCCTGCCCAAGAACATTGTTATGTCAAGTTATTATATGCGCGACTTTTGCCTTTCGTACCAGTTACAGAAAGTAACTTTATAATATCTTCTTCAGCTTGAGGATTATTTAAACGTTCCTCGAAACTAATGAGTTTCTGTAGGTTGCTTATAATTTTGAAATTATTGTCATTACCGCCCTGATGATTAACGTCAGTTACTGGTACCGAAATACGTGTCACCAATTCTTCTAATTTGGTGTTCAATAATGCAAGTTTTTGTAAAATACTTTGCTGATTATCATAAAGCACTTGTATATTTACTTCATTCGCCGATACCATGCTTATTAACTGGTCGAGCTTTTGCGCTATATTATCCAGTTTTTCTGCACTAATTCCTGGGATTACTGTGGTCTCAGTGGCTTGATCATATGGTAATTCTATAACCCCAACTTGAGATGAATGTGGTGCAATATCAAAACTGGCATTTTGATCAATTAGCTCCACGCCGCTGGTATTTTCCTAAAAGAAAAAGTATAAGCCAGCGTGCGCGTGGAATCAAAATTTCATACAAACTTTCCCTTAGTGATAATTTCTGGAATAAAAATCCATATCTTTCTCAGGGTCCCATACTATTTCAAATCGGATTAACTGTTTAAGCGTGAAGAAATTATAAAAAAATGACTTTCGCATTTATATATTAATTAAGGAGTAAGGAAGAAAATATTATTATTAACTTTACCCATTACTTCGTTCGCACGGAATTAAGACTTCATACATAAATCTCCAACAGATAATTGTAGATCATTGTAGGGTTCACCTAAAACAAAAGTATTATTTAGATTTAACTTAATTATAAGTCACGCAAATCCTTCTGTTATTTAAATATAAATTCTTTGAACTAAATTAGGAGTTTAAGATTTTATCATTGATCCCTAAATCCACTGTCATGGCGTACACATTTACAATAAACACGCAGTTTATAGGTCGGGAAGTTCTATAGTTGTCATATAACGCTGTCACTTTATAAATTATTAATAAAATATGTGAAAATATTAAAACTTTAAAAGTGCTTAAAATTTTTAATGCAACCTTACCTCACATTAATCAGTAAACTCGATTGCACATTGGTTTACAACTGATGAAATGGTTTTATCACCACAAATAACAAAGAAAAAAATTCAATATTAACTCAGCTGTCAAAAACACTGCCTAATTAAGTTAATAAGATATATAATCTGTTATATTATTCGTTTAATACAAGTTGCATCATCTTTAAATGACAATAATACAACGATTACATTATATACAAGTCATATTGTACGCCATTACTCGACACGAACTGGTCGCGACAGTTATCATAACATGACATCTAGTCGAATAGCCAACGTGTATATGACGACTATGCGACTAAGTAGGTATTCATATGACTGTTACACGAAACTCTTAGCGTCTTAAGTTGAATAAAATGGGCCCTAATGCCGTCGAGTAAACGTACTGTTACGAGCTTGAGGTTCGTGACAATAAAAATTGCCGATAAAATTACCTAAATTAACACTTTAATTTACTTTACACAAATTAAAACTAAAAACACTATTAATTAAACACACTAATTCACTTAATTCCGCTCCGAAGCTTCGCTTGTGTCGCCGAGTTCAACTCTGCCCCGATCGCATCTTGCAGCGCCTATTTATATAATTAGCAAAGAAGGGTCCCGAACATTCAAGTAAATGCGCGCCAGGCAACGAGTATTCGAGTGTAGATTTTCCAGAAACTTAGTTTTCGGGTGGCGCTGTCGGTCGAAAGATTTGTGATGTCATTTACTGCAAAGCTCCTCCCTCCCTCGCTCCTAGCCCCTCGCTCTCGTTCCTGACACTAGATGGCGCTAGTTGACTTATTCATGCAACACTGCCCCCTCCTAAGACATGCTCGTCCCGAGCATTATCGGTCCCATAATAACGCGCCAAGCGATCCACATGGACGATCTTAGGAGTCCCTCTTGCGCCTTTCTGTATCCGGTAGGTCACATCGTTGATCCTGGTTACAATCCGGTACGGGCCGTTCCATTTAACTTGAAGCTTAGGGGATTTCTCTTTGCTGCGGACTGGATTGTGCAACCACACTAATGAACCTTCGTTGAACCCTTTATTGTTCATTTTGCGGTCGTACCGGGTTTTCATTTTCTCAGACATTTGCTGGCCCGATTGTCTGACGTGCTCATAAATGTCATTCATTTTGTTCCGCAAGTCATTTGCATAATCGGTTATACTGCGTGGGGCATCAGGTGGTATCCCGGTGATCAGGTCCGCAGGCAGCCGTAATTCTCTTCCAAAGTTTGCGAAAGCTGGTGTCACTGCTGTACTTTCGTGAACAGAACTTCGATATGACAACAAAAACGGTTGTATGTGCTTGTCCCAATCTCGTTGCCGATTGTCTACAACTTTTGCTAGGTACCTCTTCAATGTCTGATTAAATCGTTCTACCATTCCATCAGATTGCGGGTGATAAGAAGTCATTCTTGTTTTATGAGTACCCATAACTCGGCAAGTTTCCTGGAATATTTGAGACTCAAAATTCCTTCCTTGATCGCTGTGAATCTCTAAAGGTACTCCAAAACGACAGAAGATTTCATGAACTAGTTTATCTACAACTGTTGAAGCTTCTTGATTTGGAATGGCGAAGACTTCTGGCCACTTAGTGAAGTAATCCATCACAACCATGAAATACTTGTTACCGCTTTCACTCTCCGGAAACGGCCCCGCCACGTCAATGGCTATTCTCTCCCATGGTGCACCCACATTGTACAACTTCAATACACCTCTACTACGAGTCTGAGGTCCCTTTACAGCCGCACAACTTGTACATTTGCGACACCAGTCCTCGACGTCGTTTCGACAGTGGACCCAGTAAAACCGTTCTCGGATCTTCAGTAGAGTTCGTTTAACTCCCAGATGGCCTCCTGAATAATCATTATGGCACAGCTGTAGAACATCCGGTACTTTAGTTTTAGGGACAACCATTTGTAAATGACAGCTGTCTCCCCGAACATTTTCCCATTTACGGCACAGAACTCCATCCTGAAGCAGCAAGCTGTCCCACTGGGCCCAATAGCTTTTAGTGGTTGAACTCATTGCTGAGACGTCGCTCCACTTAGGCTTGGGAGCACTGGCCTTCATCCATTCCAGGATCGGCTTGATGTCCGGATCTTCCTGCTGTGCACGTTGAAAGCTGTCCTTCCACTCGTTGCTGAGGTGGTCTGCCCTGAGCATCCTCACGGATACCACTTCCTTACTCTCTTGCTTAGTACAATGTTTGCAATCTTCAGGACAAGGTCTTCGTGATAATGCATCTGCGTTGCCATGAGATTTCCCGCTGCGATGTTCGATCTCCAAGTCGTATTCCTGCAGTAGTTCAATCCACCTCGCAACTTGTCCTTCTG